ATATCTATGTAAATACTGAACTGACAACAATGATGCATGAATTTAAATCGACATAGATAACTGATATAACGAGAATATAACGAGGATCAAGAAGGGGTACATTCACCGAAAGTGAAATTAAAAGAAACAAATACATTAAATATCAAGTCCTAAATCTAATAGGAAAATTAAGCATTCAGCCTTATCAGGGAACAGACCCAATTTTCCGGAAATTATTTAAGATCATAATGATTTTGAAATCTTTACTAAAAACGTTAAATAACAAAAAAAAAAAACGAACTAGGAGGAAAGTCCCTAAGCAAATTGCAAAATCAAAAGCTCAAACACTTCAAACGAATGGATAACAACTGTCATATTTTTGACTTGGTATAGGCATTTTCTTAAGTAGAAAATTGTGGAGTAAATCTGGTTTTAAAGCTAGCTAAACCTCTCAGTTGTATGACAGTCGCATAAAATTCCATTGTATTGAAAATCGTATAAAGGATTTTATTTCATAAAAACTTGTGTATATAAAATGAGAAATAGCTATTGTAGTAATCTATAGTAGTTACGATACAATTTATACATTAGAGCTTCCTTGTATGATGTTGGAATCCATTGAAACACAAAATGTTCTAGTTTACGTTTACTGCTGTTGTCTTTATTTACAGTACTTTGAATTGTAAATTTTAAGTATTCATTATATATCTATGTAAATACTGAACTGACAACAATTATGCAAGAATTTAGATCGACATAGATAACTGATATACACTCTGATATAACCAGGATCAAAAAGGGGTACATTAACCGACAGTGACATTAAAAGAAACAAAATATTAAAAGGTTCAAGGTTACTTCCCCGAGAACGCTGTTAGATTAGAGTTCATTTAAAGTTAGAAAAAAGGAAATGAGAATAAAGATGACAAAACTTCAAAATCAATCCCATGAAGAGCAACGCAATTTATTTCAATATTTCTTTGATAATAGACAGACACAAATAATTTTGACAATGATCATATATAAATATGCATATAATCAACTTAATTTTAAGATTTTAAGCCCAAACGAAACCAAAGTCGTAAGCATATGTGTAAAAAAAACAGCATTAAAACAAAATATATAAATTATTAACAGGCAAATATTCTCAGTGGGTTACATATAAACACTAAAAGGACGGAAATCACAATGTGATCCGTGTAAACTCATCGAACCTTTAAACATACTTATTAGTAGAAGTTATCTTATTAATGTTGTAATAAGATCTTAGAATATGGTTTATATTGGCACTAACATCGATTTTGTCATCAACAAATTAAAAGATAACTAAATTTGTATTCTATTTGACTGGTTTTGGGGATGTATAAATACATATCCACGTTAATATTCTATTCAGAGATTGCTTTATCTATATATAACATGATACATAATTATTATAAAGGTTACATTCTTACGATGATGCATACAAATGCACTGGGTTTAAACGTTTCAACAGACGCCAACCTTCCCCATAACCTGATACAGCAGTGTAAAATTACAACATGAAAATACATACTATAAAATATCAATTGAATTGGCTTAACTCGTTTAAAAAGACATTTAAACAAAAAGAGGGAAACATACACTGAACGAATCAGTTTGATCTTTGACACAATATAAATGGAATATTAAAACGTAGATGCCTATATAACATAGCCATTACAGTAATAAAACAACGTACACAGGTAAGATTAAATATAATAATATTGTTGCTATGAGTACGGAATTAAACTTTATTTTTACATTTTGGGGCCCTTTATAGCTTGCTGTTCGGTGTGAGCCAGGGCTCTGTGTTGAAGGCCGTACTTTGACCTATAATTGTTAGCTTTTTATACATTGTGACTTGGATGGAGAGTTGTCTCATGCATGGGCACTCATACCACATCTTCTTATTTCAATTGTATTATATTGATTGTTTTTTAAGTTCAAACATTTATTAGTATAAGATTCAATAATTTTCTATACCTTAAATTTAGGCTTTCTTGAACAAAAATCCAGTTGAACTTGGCACTTGAGTTTTTACGCGTGTGTTTATTTTTTCTGTTCTTCTAAATGTGTCGAACCCCGGCTGCATCCCACTACAAACCAGCAAAAGTCTGAAATAGCCTATATCTGTACTCGACTGTACTGATTATTACTCGACCAGTCTGAATTGGTCTGAAATTTACTTGATATTACTCGAGTGTAGTCTGAACCATACTTAACAGTCTGAACTTGTACTCGACCAGTACTTAACCATTTTATACGCGTCTGAACCATGCTCGACGTAGTCTGAACCATACACGACCTAGTCTGAACCATACTCGACCTACTCTGAACCATACTCGACAAAGTCTTAACAAACCTAGATCTCTTTTATGTATCTATCTATTGTATTTCATCAATTTAGGAACTGTTTTTAACAACAGCTATTTCCCTTGGCTAGAAATTTGAACAACAATTTGAATTAAAAATGTATTCAATATAGCATTGAAACCAAAATTCCACAATAAACATAATATAACTTTAACACCATATTCATCAACAATTATATACACATATATATCATCTTTAAAATAAAACAAGGTGATCAAATATTCTCAAAACTGAATTGTGACTAATATTTTCAATGTTATTCAAATTTTTTCAATGTTTCAGGTATATTTTATGGTTCCTGGACAATTTTCACCATTAACTTAAGCCTGGTATATATAGAATTATGGTGTCAGTTGAGTTCAGTTAATATTGCAGTGAACGTTTTTTTATTATTATCAATATATATATATATATATAAGATAGTATATAAAGCAATTTAATAAATTTTAAAAATGACACCTTTGTTTTGTAAAACCAAGAATTTAACATAATCATGATCATTGAACTTTCATAGCAATCCTTGATAACCTTTCAAAAAAGGAAATATGTTCCAAAAATGCAGTAAAAGTTCATTTCAATTAAATATAGATAAGTTTTGTCCAAATTAAAGACATGACATACACAAAGCACTTTAATAAGTTTTAATTACATCATTACATGTGTGTAAATAAACTCATCATAGATACCAGGATTGAAATTTTGTATTTTACAGGTAAAAAGAAAGCCCTATTTTTCTTAAACTCGTGTATTACTTATCTAGTGAATTCAAAAATCCTTGCGATTTAAGCTTTACAGGATGTTGCAATTTTGAATGGATGTTATTTCAAATTTATTACTCTCTGACCAGGTGTGATCTTTTTAATGAGTTTGCCCCAAGCAGGAGGCATTACTTTATACTTTACCACTAATCAGAAAAAAACTATTTTATTAATTTCTTTAATTTTTTGGATATATATTATATATAATATATCGCAAATTTTAATAAAAATAGATATATTTCTGAAATAAGGTTAAACAATTTCAGTGATGTTGTTGGCTGTTGTTACCTCATAAAAAAGCTGGTTATACATGTAGAACTATTGTATGTAACCATGAAACCTATGTATTTTTTATTAAGGAATTTAGGAAAATTAAGTTTAAAAAAAGACACATGCCAAACAAGAAGCACCTCACATGCCTCAATAAGGTTTTATTACCCTCAGTATAGGTGTGGTTTTCAGGTAAAAGAAAATCTTTTTTTTCAACAAGATTCTAAAACTTTAAAATTTATATAATTAAATTATTTAAGTTAATTTAATTTAACTATCTCTATTTGATAAATCTGAGAATCATGTCATGATGTAAAAATCTGTTTATATATGTATATATCTTTATTTTATTGTGGCTGTTTTCCTGTCTGTCAGTAAAAAAGAAATTTATTTTAACAGTTAAAAAAAAAGTACAGGTTATTTAGTCAAGTATGGTTCAGACTGGTCGAGTATTATTCAGATCTTTGGTAGAGTATGGTTAAGACTGAAAAAAATAGGTCGAATACAGGTCGAGAATGGGTTAAGACTGTTTCAGACTGGTCAAGTAATAGTTCAGACTATTTTCAATGGCAAAGATAAGGGTCAAGTACAGATTAAAACAGTCGAGAACGGTTAAGACTGGGGTCGAGTAATGTCGAGACCAATTCAGACCAATTCAGACTGGTCGAGTAAAAATCAGTACAGTCGAGTACAGATATAGGCCATTTCAGACTTTTACAGGTTTGTAGTGTCCTTATCTCTAAAAGAAATGTCGATCAACTGAAAATTCGTGATACAGAAAGATTCATGAAATTCTGTTAATCCAAGAGCAGTAAAAAAAACTACGAAGCTTATGATTAAAATACTGCCAAAGATACAGGTTAGCAGTTCTTGTTTGAACAATTTCTGTTTGTCATATATTTTTGATTTACATAGAACTGATATCAAGTTCTGCATTCCGCTTTAAAACCCATGTAAAATTGTACAGTTAGTTTCGTTTAACTGTATATTTCATTTACTGAATTTGTGATTTTCTTTTCTTCAGAATGAAGTATGAATGGAAAACATCCTTTATTGCCTTGACCCTGGGATTTTTGACACAGATGTATAATGTGGACTGTAAAAGATATGTTGTTTTCGTAGCCCAGTTGAGAAGTCACATCTCTCCTGTAATGGCCATTACAAAAGAATTAGAAAAGTACAATCACTCAGCAACATTTGTGCTTTCAACATCAATGGACAAAGAAATACGGTCCAATGGATTATCGATTAATTCTGTAGTAGCAAACAGTTTTGATAAACCGTCTATTTTTCATGACGTACAAGTTATATTGGAAATGAAAATGAAAGGTTCTAAGTATTTTCCCTTACTTCAATTACTTGGAAATGCATATGATCACTGTCATTCGTTTTTGACCGATGCTGAACTCTTCGGAATCTTAGAAGCTGCAAAATTTGACTTTGCAATCGTTGACTATGCCCCTTTTGTATGCTACGAAATTTTAGCATACAAACTGTCATTACCCTTCATTTTTAGTTCTGCCCACTATGATCCAAATCTCCACCGAACGCCATTTAATCCTGCCTATATGCCAGCATACTAGTCAGGATATACAGACAAAATGACCTTCCTGGAACGAATGATTAATACCGTATTGTCTACTATTCATCTTATCAAACCCACAATGCCTTCATTTGGAAATCTAGTCGCTAAATATGTTCCGGAAAAGCCTTTTGTGTCAAACAGCGAATTAAAAAATAGCTATTTGCTACACATAATTGACGGGGATATTTTAATGGATTATCCAATTCCCATTGCTTCGAATGCCATCTTATGTGGTGGATTAGCAGCCAGGCCCGCTGAATCGTTGATAACTAGGATAGAGTCATTTGTTAAGAAGTCTAAAGATGGCTTAGTAATTGTTGCCCTTGGTAGCATAATTAAGTCATGGCCTGAACAAATAACGAATAAATTAATTTCAGCTTTTCAAAAGATGAAGCATTTTAATTTCATATTTCGTAGTGGAGAGTATGAAAAAGAATATGGAAACATATTACTTTTGCCATGGTTACCACAGAATGATCTGCTTGGGCATGTAAAAACGAAACTATTCATCACTCATTGTGGGAAAAGCAGCGTTTTTGAAGCTCTCTATCATGGCGTACCGATGCTTGCATTTCCAATTGCTCTTGATCAAAAATCAAATGCCGCTCTTATAATAGACAAGGGTTATGGAATTTCAATGGATATTTTAGATTTTTCTGTGAACGAATTAGTTGAAAACATCAATATTGTAGTGCATAACAGCACTTTCATGTTCAGCATTAAAAATGCATCTGAGATATTCCACAGTCGTCCACAAACACCAACACAAAGAGCAGCTTATTGGATAGACTTGGTGACTAAATATGGATCAGATCATTTCAGACCAGCATCGCTAGATATGCCGTGGTATTGCTATTTTATGTTAGACGTTTATCTAGTTTATCTTGTGGGAATCGTTTTGGCCGTATATGTTTTGAAGGTATTTCTGAAATATTGTGTTAAACTATGCTGTCGGAAAAAAAATGCCAAAGAAAAACTGCAATAAACCTACTCGTACGCCTGTAATGCAAATTGAATTCATATATATAAACTAAATCATAAAAGTTACGAAAAGGTCATTTTCACTTACTTTGTTTCATAATGTATGATATAAGAATACTAATATTAATACATTCATATCGACAAGATTTAGACATTACTTTGATCAATTAACAAGTCAGTATAAAGGTAAAAAATAAAAAAAGGGAAAATTTACTTCTGACTATTGCACCAGAGATGACACCGATGAAAACACACGTGAACAGATAGAGATTAATCACCACCATGTTTAAAAAAAAAGCATTGTATTCGCTTCGTGTGATAGAAGAAGCACCTACGCACATGATGTTACTGAATTTGGGAGTTCTTGCTCTTTATTTTAGTCTAATAAAGGCAACAGTAGTATACCGCTGTTTAACATTGAGACTTTTTAACATGTAAATCCTTTTGTATTAAATATACTCTTTCCGTATTTTCTTCTTATTTGCAAGAGGATGTTTCATCCCCCCTCTTGGTATCTTCATACTCTTTTGTCATATAAAATATGTAAGGAGGGGTTGAGGAAATCGTCCTGTACAAAAGTATAAGTCTCTGAAGTAAGGAAATGTTACAATTACACGTAAACGTTTTGTTCCGTATGGGAATGTCAAATAAAGGCAACAGTAGTATACCGATGTTCAAAAGTCATAAATCGATTGAGAGAAAACATATCCCGGTTACACACCAAAACCGAGGGAAACGCATCAACTACAAGAGGAAAACAAAGGAACAACAGGAACACTCAAGTGCAACAAAAACAAACGCCCACAAACATAGAAACGAACTATTTGATAACATCTGCCATATTCCTGACTTGGTACAGAACATTTTAAGAAAAAATGGTGGGTTGAACCTAATTTAAAGGCTAGCCAAACCTCCCGTTCAATGATACTCGTATACGTCTATTCAAGTATAAGGATGAACACACACGCAACCACGCCTACTAATATTTGATAAAGAGCAAGTTTACCTGTTAGAAAAAATTAGCTCTATAAACACAAAAAAACTTATTGTTTTGTCATATTTTGGAATGAGACTGAAACAGATGGCCTTTTGTTGTACAGAATACTAATATATATTTCAATACGATTTTATTTCATCTTGTGCCTAAACTGTTATCTTGATAAAATAAGACTTTTATCATTTGTGTGTCTGTAGTGTAAATGTTAGAATGCCCGATATAAATCAAATTTGCAGGCATTTTATTATTTGTATCGTTTGGTTGCTGTCTTATTTAGGTTGACCACACATCTTCTTTTATGTATACACATACAACCTTTGTTTTAATTAAAATTGGTATGTCGCTTTATATTTTCAACACATACATAGTGGTTGTTTGCATTTATTTGAAGGTTATCGTTTTGCAAATCAATTGTTACATTTAAGTAAATAGACATGGGCTTAAACGATTATTGTCTTTTCTTCCGTATGCATTTAAATAAGATATTAAAATTAATTAATTCTGGAAGAAACCCAATTCATTTTTCACTTCTTTAACAGTGTAATGACAACAATGTAGATTTGACTATTCAATACATACCATTCTGTTATTGCTTAAATTTGTATTATTTCGAAAGGAGAAAATAACATTCTAACTCAGTTGGCATGTCGAAAAGGGATGTTAACGCGATTTTCTGTGGAACAGATTGTTTCAAATGGTCTTGCTTAATATTCTGGACCATGATAGGAGTAATCTTTATATAAGTAGCAGAAGTTATTCACAGTTTTTCATGTAACCCAGGAGATGTTGCTTCACGAAATGGATTGATAGCTCTTCCCATTGTAGGCAGTTTCTGCGTATTTTGTGCCGGACTGAGTATGTTTTCAAAAATGGGAGAAAGATTCTGCCTGAAAGTTGTTTGTTCCTTGATTTAGATATCCGTAGGAGTGTCATGTATTATTGTTTCGTGTGTACTTGTTTCCGGAAACTGTAGTAAACACCTCGCAATAAACATTTTGATTATTATTGGTATTGTCTCAACACTGATTGCTGGTTCTGTGGCCGGGATTTTGATAAATCAAGGAACGCCATGTCGTAGACTATCAGGTGAAAAATCCAGAATTATTTAAAATTCTGACAAAAGATAAAGCAAAAGAAGACAGAGTAAAATTACAAATGTAAAGTGATCAATTCAAAATAAAATGCTTTCAAGTGGCTAAACTTTTATTGTGATAATCAACTGTTTGACATTACTTCAAACTGCTAGTATTTTATATTCTTTTTGAATACGTCCGCAACATTGCTAAGAAAAGTAATTGTCTTTTTAGCATTCTTTAACTATTACTTCTAATACTACGACAGAGACTTCCAATGAGTATAAAAACGCAAAATCAATTTTGGTATGCCAAAAGTAAAATAACAATAGAACAACTCCGAGGAAAAATTCAAAACGGAAAGTCCCTTATTGAATGGCAAAACCCAAAGCTTAAACACATTAAACGAATGAATAACAACTGTCATATTCCTGACTTGGTACAGGTAGTTTCTTATGTAGACAAAGATGGATTGATCTGGTTTTATAGCTAGCTAAACCTCTCACTTGTATGACAGTCGCATAAAATTTCATTATATAGACAACAATGTGTGAACAAAACAAACAGACATATTATGTAAATAAAGGCAACAGTAGTATACCGCCTTTCGAAACTCATAAATCGATAGAGATAAAAACAAATCCGGGTTACAAACTAAAACTGAGGGAAACGCATCAAATATAAGAGGAGAACAACGACACAACAAAAACACAACATTAAAATGTAACACACACAGAAACGAACTATAATATTGTAACGAAATGTGGGTTCCCTGAAATGGAACTTGTTTCCCCTAAAATTGTGTAATGACGTTGTTTAAATCTTACCGATAATTGACTTTTCTTATTATATATTTCTTGTATAATTATTTTTAAACATTGTTAACTTTAAAACTTTTTATTATTCTTGCCTATGTTTTTTACATTCGGAACACCTGTGAATTGTTTATTTCAATTGACGTACAATGACGTCAGTTCCGGTTTTGGTAATTTAGGTATTTTCCGGAATGGTAAATGGTAAACCAAATCGGTAAATTGGTTTACCTAAGTATAAATACGGCGGCGAATACAGATAAGTCTTCACCAGACCAAGTAGTAACCAGACAGCCAACACTATTACAATGTCCGAGGAGACTACGTCCGTATAATGTGGGTTTGTTAATTCCTTTCCAAGTTGCATTTAGAGATTAACTTCTCGAGAGAAACTTTATCTTTTGGCATTGAATTTGATTTACCATTTGCCGATTACCAAACTACGATTAGTAAACTTTCTGGGTATATTTTTCCGCTATCCATTTTCTTTAATTCACGATAGAAGGTTAATAAAGTATTTATCTGTTAGACTAGAATACTGTTAAGTTATTTAATATTTATATGTATTGTTGATATTTAATGCATCTTAAAGTTAATACAAGTTGATTTCTTATTTAACGAGTCTGTTATTCTTACAAACATCGAGAGTTACCATATAAAAACCTATACTCCAATCTACCCTATTATATCCGAGTCATTACCTTACCAGAGGAACCAGCCTTACCAGTATGTATTCAGAATACCAGAGTACCACATAGTACCACGATACCAAAGAAGGGTCACCAGTTATAACTTTTATTTCTTATATACTCGTACATTCTAACAAAACACATTTTATAGCAACGCACTAAGGGATAAACATTTATAGTTTAACACTCAGGCCCGACCGCTCGGTTTTCGTTACACAACATTAATCATCAAATATAAGAGGAGAACAACGGCACAACAAAAACACAACATTAAAATGTAACACACATAGAAACGAACTATAATATAACAATGGCCATTTTCCTGACTTGGTACAGGACATTTTAAGAAAAAATAACAAAAGTGTTGAAAATAGGGGTACAGAAGTCAGCATTGTGTTATAGTCTTAATCACTATGAACACAAACAAATGTGTCAACAAAGAAAACAAAAAGGCATACAGACAAAGCACATTAGCAAAACGAAAGACAAGCATACACAAATTTAGCATAGCACAATAAGACAATGGTGGGATGTATAAGTACTGAGCCACGTCAAATGTGTTTTTTTATTAATTGAAATAAATTTGTCAAGACTTTTAAATTTAGAAATTCTAACAAAGATAACAAAGAGCTGCGCAATGAGTGCATAATGCACCCGTCGCTTTTTCAAAGAATAAAGTTCCATAACTCCTAACGTCTTATCGGAAATTTATAAAAACTAATTAGTTATCAAAGGTACCAGGATTATAATTTAATACGCCAGACGCGCTTTCGTCTACATAAGACCCATCAGTTACGCTCAGATCAAAATAGTTATTAAGAAAGAGAGGTTATTTGTATAGATTTATATATCAATAAACTAGTTTAACTTGATATCAGTGTTTAAAATTGGATATATTCGAATTAGTGTCATGTATTCAATGTTAATCCAATCTATTAAATGTAAATACTTGGTTTTTTTCTTTTTTTTTTGCTAATTTGCTTTTTATTTCAATCAATAGTTTTACGTATTTTGTTTACATGAAGACGTGTCTTTTCTATACCCTCAGTTTCTTTACGATTTTTATACTTTAAATATCAAATGTAGCTATATATTTAACTGGTATATCAAGTAGAGCGTTTATTTTACTTTCTTATTCATTATGTACACCACACATTGATTTGCAGTCCCTATATATGGCATAAATACTCATCAAAGATACTACCGGCTCATTTAACCAAAAAAAAAAAAAAAAAACAAATATATACATGCTTTAAAGAATTGATACAAGGTTATACTATATTGTTCGTGAACAACGAGTGCTTTTACTCTTAAGAGTTTTGAAAATGTCGTCAATTGAAACTCTTTGACCTGTCTTTTACATTCCTAATTGTCAATTGCTTTTTTTTCCTGTAACATTAATAAAATGACAACCATAGCCTATCCCTAAAGAATCCATATAGACTATATACACATATTGATAAACAATAGTCAGTTCTGTGTCATTAATTTTGTCTATGTTTTTCATACAAAAACGATTTCCGAAGCCAAATGTCCCATAATATCGATATAATCTGACCAACTACTGACGCACGAAACCTTGCATGTATTTATATGATCTTTCATTTGTCCTTTTGTAGATAACAACTATCAATTCACGATCAAAAATCTATCAATAAAACAATTACAATAGATGTTTTTATAACTATTAACACATACTTACAGATAAAATACAATCACTATTTTCAACTTTGTAAAAATTACTCCTAAAGAATTAAAAAACAAAAACAAATACAATATAACTCTTCGCATTGACAAAATTTTTGCCATTTTTACATATTATGTCTGTTTGTTTTGTTAACTCATCGTTGTCCATATAATGGGATTTGATGCGACTGTCATACAAGTGAAAGGTTTTG